GAACAGCACTGTGAATGAAAGAGAAACCTTAGATGATGATAATACTGATGATGACAGTCATCATCATCATCATCATCATCAGTATTATCATCATCTAAGGTTTCTCTTTCATTCACAGTGCTGTTAAGTGGTTCAGTGGTGTTTTTTCTAAAAATGTCTTCAACTGAAAAAGTTGTTAATGATAAGTATACTATACACATACAGTGTATTGTATACAGTATAATGTTGACTTTTTGTTGCAATAAAAAAATCAATTACACTGTTGGTGCTTCTTACATTATGATGAGTGCTCCCAAAATTTTGCTGGTCCTAACTTTTTAAAGTTAGTCCTAACTCAGTTCAGAGTGAGATTTTTGCTGGGTGGCAATGTGGGGCCAATGTGGCAGGCCTTGGGCATGACAGTTTANGGTTTTCATGTTGGTTCCACCTCTAAATGCAGTCTGCACAGGCAAAACCTATCGTACCCAATCTGAAACTGAGCTCAGACATTCAGTGCTATTTATTGTTTGAATAATCAATGTAATTGGGAGACACCTGGGCAACAAAACACACCTGTCAGTCACATGTTCCAATACTTTTGCTCTCATGAAAAATGGGTGGGTTCAAACAAAAGGTGCTATCTTCTAAGTTGTGTATCAGATCCAGATGTAAATACCTGGAAATAAAAGCTGAAATGTTGATCTCTTGTCTCATATTCATCTTTTGATGTCAAACCCAAATATTTTCAGTCTACAACAAAAATAAAGGAATTGGCCTCACTGTTCCAATACTTTTGGAGGGCACTGTAACTCAAGTGAAATGTCAGCTCCTTCAACTTGTGCTTTGCAATTTAGTCCTTTTTGCCTCCTCTTGCATTGTAGTTTGCTGCTTTGTAATTTCTTTTCAGACTGGCTGCAGTGTGTGTATTTATGGTGTCCTGGATGGTTCTGGTAGCCCACAGTTTCTGGTTGTGGGATAATTTGACTGTAGTATTAGGTACCGTTTCTTAAGTTGTTTAACAAATGAAATCCACCACAGACCTGGTGAGTTCACTGATGTCATCGGTAATGTCAGTGCCAATGTCCTAAAATGTGTTCCACACTTTAACTGGCTCCATCTCTCATGTCACTGGGGGCATGAATTGTAGTTGGTTCACATACCTTGACCTCAAAAAGATGGCTGCATTGTCACTCCTCCTGAACATAGGCAGCGACTCAGCTCCACAGCTGCCTTTGAACAATGAATTGCAGTGATTCAGAGGGTTTATTCCCCTTGTAGTGCAGGACGAGCAGAAATGGGACAGCACCTCACATTCCTGCTGTCACGCCAGTCCTTATTCATCATTGAATGGCACTGTCCAGGATTAAGCTGAGTTTCAGTGAATTAAAAGTTTTTCAAAAGTTAGTTTTTGATATCTTGTTGGATATTGTCTAGTTTATCATCCATCGCCTGTTCAATGGCAAGCAGGATGCTAGTTCAGCTGGTGTCCATCTTTTCCATCTTGTCCTCAATGTTGACTGATGTAACTGTGTTAAGTCAGATAACTGCCCTCAAGTGATGTCACCTGAGTTAGTGTTGTTTGAAAAGTAGAATAAATAAATAAACTCTGTGTGTGTGTGTGTGTGTGTGTGTGTGTGTGTGTGTGTGTGTGTGTGTGTGTGTGTGTGTGTGGAGTTAGAAAGTGAGCTCAACCTCTGCAGCCCACTGCTCATATCTGCTTCAGGCTAACAGCTCAAGCCTATTAGCTGAACACCTGGATCTGTACATTCTAGTGCAAAAATGAAGTGATTCACTGACACATACAAATGCTGGCTGTGATTTGCCACTTTTCTCATCATGTTCAGACTAAAACTACAATGACTGACCCATTAATCAATTAGTTGTCCAACAGAAAATTATTGGCAACTATGCTATCCTTACATTTTTCTTGGTCAAATGTGACAGTACATGAAATATATTTAGTGTATTGGGCTTGGGGAAAGAGTAAATGGCATTTATCCACTGTTATGTAATATTCAATATAACTAAACAACTAATGAAATAATTGGCAGATCTGTCTGCAATGGAAGTAATCTTAAATTGCAGATATGGTCCAGAGAGCTATAATTACACTGATGCAGTTCTTTAATTGAGAAATGTATAGATTTTGAGATTTCTATTTATTTATTTGTGGCAGATACAGCTTAATATATTAATATCCTCTGACTGAAGTACTTATCTGATTTTCTGTTGTCTTCTGATTTCTTTATATTCTAGGGTGTATGTTGTTCGCTATTTGTGTATAAAGTATATGCAACACAATCACCAGAAAAAAGTTGCGTGGTATGTTTCTACAAAACACAGATCCATTACATTTGTAGGCTATGTTATCATATAGTAGATTCATTGAAACTTTACATTTCAATGATGCAGTGGTTAACATTCAGGCAGGTTTAAGTTTAGCCACAAAAACACTTGGTTATGGTTAGGAAAATATCATATTTTGGCTTAAAATACCTGGGGCCATATTCACAAAGCCTCCTAGTACAAGGAGTTACTCGAAATTCTAAAAAAAAATTCTTAGAATTGTGACATTTTCTTAGAATTTCCCCTTTAAGTCAATACTAGGTCCTTGTAAAGCTATAGGTTATTCACAGAGCATCTTAGCCCTTAATGGAGCTCCTAAGGTGGCAAAATGTTAGGAGCAGGGAGGAGGAATTTAAGAGGCTTAAGAGTTTCTTAAGCAGAGGAGAAAATAGTGGAAACACAAAGAGGTCAGGGAAATATTCTCCAAACGCTGGTTGTCAGTGAATAAATGGAATACTACAGATTAGATCATGAAGGGAGAATATTTGTGGTTGATGTCATTAGGGCTACGCACACATTCAACCAACAAAATAACGCTGTAACACCAGAAACAAAATGATACCCTAAAATCCTAGGAAAACTGGAGACTTGGGTATGTCTCAATCTTCCATCAGCAGAGTAATCACACTAACAATGACAAAACCTTCTCAGTCTTATATTGTGATGCAGTTCATTTGATTTCCACTGGGTGTTCACACCTTGCAGGCTTACAAAGGGACAACCAATCACATCTGTTAAGAGAATGCATCATACCTAGCAACAGGGTCAGCCACACCTTCTCACTGAGGTCAAAGTTTCTGTCCCTTCCTTGCTCAGAGTTGCTCTGAGAACATTACTAAATCCTTCCTAAGCTAGGACTCCTTACTAAAAATCTTCAGGCTAAGTTAGGAGCTTGCTGAGAGTATTCAATACATCCACGTTTGGTGCTTAAAAAGTTGCTGGAAACACAGCAATGACTCATTAAATCACAACTGGTTTTGATGTTTGTTGGTGTCAGTGGTCTGTGCTATACTATGTCACTGAAGAAATGTTAATATGACAAGTGTGACATGTGAAAATGTAACATAATCGTGGTTTGCAGAAACATACATTACAACATACATACAACATACAACATTTTCATCTGGCAGTTGGGCTGTTGCACAACAATGTTCTTTCAACTTAGCATTTGTAACAGTTAACAATTTGTGTTTGTCCCTTTCCTATTCCGACATGACAATGCCTCCTATTACTACATCTTGCTAAATCGGCCATTCTGCATGTCACTAACTTGGCTTCTTCTCCGGAGCCTTTGTGCTCCACTGTCTCTCAGGTTAACTCATATCGCAGCGGTGCCTGGACAGCGTGACGTGTGTGGTTGTGCTGCTGCCGTGGTCCTGCCAGATGCCTCCTGCTGCTGCTGCCATCATTAGTCATTAGTCATACTTCTACTGTTATTATACACATATGATTATTGTCACACATGTATATTGCCAGATACTAATATATACTTTCAACATATTGTACCACAGTAGCCAGAACTATAACGATAATATTATTACTTTCATTAATGTTGTTGTAAGCTACTGTCATTACCGTCTGTCCTGCATCTCTCTCTCTCTTTCTCTCTCTCTCTCTCTCTCTCTGTCTCCCTTTCTGTCTCATTGTGTCATACGGATTACTGTTAATTTATTATGTTGATCTGTTCTGTACGACATCTATTGCACGTCTGTCCGTCCTGGAAGAGGGATCCCTCCTTAGTTTCTCTTCCTGAGGTTTCTACTGTTTTTTTCCCCCGTTAAAGGGGTTTTTTTTTGGGTGGAGTTTTTCCTTATCCGCTGTGAGGATCCAAAGGACAGAGGGATGTTGTATGCTGTAAAGCCCTGTGAGGCAAATTGTGATTTGTGATATTGGGCTTTATAAATAAAATTGATTGATTGATTGATTGATTGATTGATTGACAATGTTGCTGTGCATAAAGCCTGCTCCATAAGTGAAGGGTTTTCCCACTCTGGTGTGAAAGAACTTGAATGAACAGGGCCCTGACCTCAACCTCATCTAACACCTCTGGGATAAACTGGAACACCAACTTTGAGCCAGTGTTGCTTTTGTGACTGAATGGGAGCAAATCCCTGCAGCAGGTTCAACATGTGGTAGAAAGAGTGAAAACAGAAAAGTGGAGGCATGGAGGAGGCTTTGTTCAACTGGTGTGATGTTCAGATGTTAATACTTTAAGTGCTGTTTGAGCATTTGCCCTGAAACAAAGAGCCATTTCTGTCTTTCTCTGCTTCTCAGTTCAGTAAATCTTATTTCTTTGCAGTTCAATCCAAAGATGCAGCAGATTCGTCGGAAACAGAGAACCAAAAGTGCCGAATGTTCAGTAGCAACGGCAGTTTTGACCTTAATAACATCAAATGATCCAGTAATAAGAATTCAATCAGCCAGTCAATCAGGCGGTCAGTCATTCAGCGGGGAAATCTATTGATTCATAAAATCCGCATCCCACACATCTTCTCTCCCTCTCTCTCCCTGCACACTTTCAGGTACTCTCTCTCTCTCTCTCTCTCTCTCTCTCTCTCTCTCTCTCTCTCTCTCTCTCTCTCTCTCACACACACACACACACACACACACACACACACACACAGACTCCTCCTTCCTCTCCTCTCTCCTCCTTTCAGTTGGCCCTGTGACTCCTTGCCGGGACGGTATAACAGTAGCCTACAGAGCGGGGACCGGTCGTTGATGGGGAAGGGCAGTAGCCGCAGCAGCAGTCGGGCGCACCGACCGAAGCATGCTCCAGCGCAACCATGACTTGCTCGGCCTCAGATAGCGAGAAGATCGTGATCAACTGCGGCGGGATCCGACACGAGACCTACCGGAGCACCCTCAAGACTTTGCCGGGGACGCGCTTGTCTTGGCTGACCGAACCCGACGCCTACAGCAACTTCGACTACGACCCAAAGTCCGACGAGTTCTTCTTCGACCGCCACCCGGCCACCTTCGCCTTCATCCTTAACTATTACCGCACCGGCAAGCTCCACTGCCCCAATGATGTATGTGGGCCGCTCTTTGAGGAGGAGCTCGCCTTCTGGGGCATCGATGAGACGGACGTGGAGGCGTGCTGCTGGATGAACTACCGACAGCACCGTGACGCTGAGGAAGCCCTGGACAGCTTCGAAACCCCCGAGCCGGACGCACCCGAGGATGACCCGGCGCTCACCGGCGGGGCGGACGGCGACCTGAAGCGGCTGTGCATGCAGGAGGATGGCCGCAAGGCGACGTGGTGGGAGGTGTGGCAGCCCAACATGTGGGCGCTGTTCGAGGACCCCTACTCCTCCAAATACGCCCGGGTGGGTAGCTGTTCTGTTCTTTCTTTCTTTCTTTCTTTCTTTCTTTCTTTCTTTCTTTCTTTCTTTCTTTTTCTTTCTTTCTTTCTTTCCCTTCCTCTGCTCTGCGCTCACATATCCCCGTTTGGCACACTTCTGGCCACTGCGCATTGTCGCGCGTAAAGTTATTCCCGAATTGTCTTAAAACAATTGGAGGATGTCACATTCACTGCAGTGTTTTTTCCTCTCCTCTTCCCCGCTTATGTACCCCACCGCTGTTCTTTCCTTTCATTCTCTCTCACTGATATGACTGTGTGAAGATTTGGCCACCGCTGATGTCCGTTTGTCAGTGTGCAACCGTCCACCCTTCTCTCCTTCTCTACATCTTTATGCCTCTCTCTCCAGTGTCGGTGTGTGTGTGCCAAAATATGTCTCAAGCAAAATACTTCACACTTTCAACATGATTTAATTAGACCTGACCCTACTTGGGATCCAGTTCTCTCCACTATCACTCCACATTTGGTGTAAAGTGTGCCTCCATTGATTTGCTCTCTCTCTCCTTTTGATGAAACAAAACTGAAATCTTGTAAGCAGCAGCCACCTCACATGAGCACATGCACATGAATGCATTACTGTTTTTGTACCTTATGTGTGCTGGCATGTGATGGCGATTGCATTTATACCTGTTCAGGTGTGCCGGTGTTTAAGTATGTGGCTGTGTGTGTTTGGGTAGATGATGGAGCAAACACTGTTGGGCTATAACACACTGCTCTTTCTCTTGCATATCACATGTTGTGTTTTCCTTTGCTGGTGAACAGACATCATATCAGTCTAACTTTAGCACTGCACTAATGAATCAAATGTTATCAATAGCCTCCTCATATTAGAGCAAATTTTATAGCTGGTTTGAATTTGGCATGAACTACTCTGCACTGCTTTACAGCACAGAGACAAATTTTTTATGGCTCAGAGTAGAAGAGTGTATGATTCTCTCAACACACAGAGCATGTCGCAGTATTCTGATGGCAACATGAGGAAAGTTTTTTTGAGGAATGAAGCAATACCATTAAGTGTGCAGGTCTTGTCTTTGAACAAACGTAGCAGTAAGGTTCATTCTGCCGGCGACAAATTAAGTCACCTATAAATACCAGACATATTATGCTGTTCACGTAGCAAAAGAGATCAAGATGTAACGGTCAGAGTGGTGGATTGGCATGCAGTGCATACAACTTTCATGTGATAGGCTGGAGTTTGTGTCCAGTGGCAATCCATCAATTAAAGCATATGTACACCCTTGACCTCTGCCTGGCTTCTCCTAAAATAGTTAAAACATACATGTGGAGAGTGGGTGTTGGTGCAGAGTTGTGCATTTGTCGCAGGTGGTCAAGGGTGGCAGTCAAGCCACCTGAAGAAAATGGTGGTGTGTTTCTGCAAGCCACAGATACGTTACATTTGCACATTTCGTACGTATCATATCAGCATTTGTAAAATTATGTAGTATAAGAGGCGATTATCACTGGGAGGTGAATGGGATAACGTGTCACCAAGGTGAGACGGCTGCCAAGCTGCAGACCACTGTTTGAGACCAACAGATTTAGCGAGTAAATGCTGTGTTTCCAGCAGCTTTCTACTCACCAAACATGGTTGGTTTTTAGGGCCCCAATGCTGTTTTTCCAGCTGGGATAGTGCCACAAAAAGTTGTTGTTTTTTTACCAAGATGTTGCTGCTTTTCTAGTGGGGAACGTGCCCCTGAAACTGGCTATTTTAAGTAGCGATGCATGATAATATCAGCACATCATTGGTATCGGCAGATATTGGCTTTAAAAGGAACTATGAAAATCAGCCAATTGCTTTTTGTTATTTTGCGCAATGAATAAATATTACATACATTGAAAAACATTCTATTTCATGTCTCCCTCTGCCGGTGGGCCATCCCAGCAAGAGTATGCATACATAACATGATGTTAATTCCACTACAGAAGAGACTTGATGATTACTAAAAGTAGGTGGGGAAAAAAGAGGATATACTGTATCAATATCAGTATCGGTTATCAGCCAAATGAGTTGTTATTTATCTGTATATTGGATATCAGCAAAAAATCCAATATCTTGCATCCCCAATTTTAACCCAAAACTACCACTATAAACAAGTGGTTTAAGTGGTGCCAGTTTGAATGTCAGGCCAAATACACACTTCAATGATTGTGTGTTGATGGGAGATTTCTATGATATTTATATTTACCTTCTGCTTTTATATTTCCAATCAGTTAGTGATGATCAGTTAGTGATTCTGCTTTCTCATTTTTTTCTCAGTCATGTTCTTTTCATTTTTTAATTTTGCTTTATTTCTCTCATTTTTACCTGTAACTCAATTTTTCTCTGTTTTCCCTTTCCCCGCCTCATTTTGATTCCTTTCCTCCACCTGTGCGGTCAGTGCTTATTCTCTCACCTGTGTCTCCCTCTGCCTTCTGCTACCTAATTGTCTCTATAAATCCATGGCCATTGGCAGAGCCAGAGGCCAGTGCTGACCGGGATCATTGTGAGCTGAGGTGTTTTCTGTGGACTCTGCTATATGCACAGAGACAGCATATTGACTCAGTTGCTCTCCGTGACTAAGGAGGGAGCCACACAAATGAAGACAAACACTACACGCACAGACACAAACATACAATGTCTAAAGCACCATTCGTCCACTGGGGTTCCATAGGCAAGTTGTAGCCTGAGCAGAGATTTTCAACTTTAGAAAAAAAAAAAAAAAAAAAAAAAACTAAAAATGTAATACTCCAAATTCCATACAATTATAAGAACATGCAGTCCGGAGAAGCATGTTCCAGCACATTATTCTGCGATACTATGTCTAAATTGGATGATTCTGCACTTCACCATTTATGTCTAATGCTAATGTTCAGTTTCAGTGCGACAGTTCAGTGCAGTGTGCCCTACATGTAGCAAGATGGAAATTAAGCATGTGGATAAGTGTGTAGCATGTTTGACTTTTGTGCATGGGGACAAGGTTTGCAGAAAAAAACCCTGCTATTTGCGTTGGCATTTTTTGAAACCATGATCTTCCCCTGACCTCGATCTTAACACCGTTTCCATGCACAGGTATTGTAGAGAGCAGGAATGTTAAAATGTTTGGATGTAGAATAAAAAACTGGCATTTAACATATTACAGGGTTTTGTCCAAAATCAACATTCTTGTCTGGTATTAAGGTTGTCTAGCCTTGAGATAAACCAAAAATGTGACTGAAATACAGCTGTAGTCGTTCCAGTAGACGCAGCTACTGTACACCAGATGTTTGCTGCCTTGTGGCTCTTTCATGTCTCTGCTACAGTTCCAAGGGGCACTGTGCAGCGTTTGTCAAGTAGTTCAAGCTGCCTGAACTTTCAGCATTTTGTTTGCTTTTGTAGGAGTTTAAAAATGTCTCTTACCAAAAAATATCTCTCTCCACAGTGCTTTACATTTCCAAGAACTAATAAACTACCTCTGTAAACACAAACCCAGTTTCCCAGTTTTGGCAAACCAGGAATACGTTACATCTGCACATTTCATACATATCATATTAATGTTTCTAAAGTGACATGGTGTATGAGCTGAGCTTGTCGTCGATAGGTGGAGGAGATGGTGGATGACATGACACCTCGGTGAGATGCCTGCCAAGATACAGATTACTTAAGGCCGTCGTTTTGAGACCAACAAACAGCAAAAACAGTTTGGGTTTAGAGAGTCGTCGCTGTGTTTACAGTGGCTTTTTAGGAGCCAAACGTAGGTGTTTTGTTTGTAGTGAACTATTGCTGCTTTTCCAGCGGGACAGTGGTACAATAAGCAGTTGTTTTTCACTGAGACATCCCTGCATTTCCAGCGGGTATCATGGCGTGAGAAGCGTTGTTTCTCCAGAGACATCACTGCATTTCCTGTCAAGATAGTGGCATGAAAAGCAGTTGATTTTTACTGAGACATCCCTGCATTTCCAGCGAGACAGTGGCACAAAAAGTGTTTTATTATCATCCCATCTACCATCCCTGAGTTTCTTGCAGGGATGGTAGTGTGATATGCAGTTGTTTTTTTACTGAGTCATCGCTGGTTTTACAGCAAAGACTGTGCCCCCAAAACAGATACTTTGAGGAAAAATCAAGATCTTTTCCAACCATAACCAGAGTTTTTTTGCCTAAAACTAACCCCACGTCAACCACAGCATTGTAGAAATGCAATGTTTCAACGTATTAGCAACAAAATGCAAATTAAACAAATCTGTGGATTGCAGATACTTAGAATGCCACTTTTTTTTCTGGTGATCAGGTTGTAAAAACAGCTCATAGTTATTGGAGAACATAGTTTGCAGGGAATAGTGCATGTTTCTCTCTGAATGCCTCCAGTCTTGCACAGCAAAAGTGAAGCCCCACAAGTGATGCTGTATTGACTCAGATATTTGCAGCAGGCTTAATTGCCATTACTTTGCACATGTACTATTCATGTATAGTTCCAGATATGCTGCTCAGGGTTGCCGTAGTTGCCAGTAGGTCTGCGAGGCAAATCAGCTAATCCCAACGGACCCTTACCCAAAAAGCTTTGAGAATGACAAGTTTATACCAAATAATTCTACTGAAATAAGAGAAAGGGACAGTCTAACACTGAGCTTGAATGGAGTGTGAATCTAGAGCATTTAGGACTCTTTGCTGTAGACGGATGTTTTGACTAAAGAATTTTACCTTGTGCTGCTTTCTTATGCTCAAAGCTGGACAAATTGAAAAATTAAATGGCAGCCAAACAAGCGATTAAAGAACCAAATGGGGGGTGACAGTAAAAAAAGACAAACTGAACACTGGGGTGGTGTCATGGGGGTGGGGGGGTGGGGGTTGGGGGGGATTGGAGGAGCATCGGTATGACAGCTGAGGTGACTTTGAAAATGTTGCAGTCAATAGTTTTGGTGCCAGCACAGTGACATAAAGATAGGTTAGAAGGGGTGGAGGGGGGCAGCCAGTGCAGCAGCAACAGCGGCAGCAGCAGCAGTAGCAGCAGCAGC